GTTCATGTGTGAAGAAATCTAGTGGATGAAATCTTCATTTCAAAGAGAAGATAGAAAAGATTTGAATAATTGAGGTAAAAGATACAAGTTTGAATTTGACAATTATTACTATTACTTTGAGCTTTGAGAATTCCATCAAAGTTAATTAATGATACTTAAAGGGAATTAATATAATTGGAACAGTAGAGGATTTGATTAATCTAAGGTATTAAGTCGAACTGTTGAAGTCAATAAAGGATCTTCAAAAAGAGATTTTGAGGAAAGACTTCATTAAGAAAATATGTATGTAACATTAATAAAAGTTATAGATCATAATAATTTATGTGATTGTGTTTGTCTTTAAATTGCATTGCATAAGGTTATTTCCACGGATCTAGAATTTGAAAAAAACAAAGTGGGCAGTTATAAATTAAGTGTTTTATTCCATTAAATTTCTTTCATGTTATAATTTCTTTTAAATATTGCAATCATTATGTCTTACATGAATTAGATTAATGGAGAGAATTAAAAAAATTGGAATTGAGAATTATCATTTTATGGAATTATTGTTAAATGAATAAAATATTTAAATGTTCAATGTATAATCAACTTGAGATTGACTGAATTATTAAAATTTATGATGTAATAGAAATGTACTTTAAATACATTACTAATAAATGTAATAGAAATGAAATATTTAATTATAATTTAACTGATATGGAAGCATTAAAAGATGGAAAAAGTATATGCATATAAATTATAGGAGTTCATCCCCATATGATGCTGGCTAGGAAAGCAATGTACTTGTGCACGTTAAAATGGAAATGGAAAAAAAATGAAAATGGTTTTACCTTTTTAGGTACATTTATACAGTGCTCCTATACTAATGAAAATGAAAATAAAATAAATATGTAATGAAAATGGACAAATGAAATATATTGAGAAGTAAATTATGTAGAAGATATATATATATATATATATATATACACACACACACACACATATATACATGTAAATGAAAAAGAAAAAGAAAGCCAAATGAATATGTTAATTTTATGTATGTAAAATTTCTATACTATAAGCATGATTACCCACTGAGTTTATCATGTAAACTCAACCTATTAAACTAAACTTTCAAGTAAGTCTCCTGGCAAATTAAAATAGATAAAAGAGAAGAGGAATACGTCAACAGAAGATGGCGCACAAATGCAAGCGGGTAATCCATTGTTTAAGTAAATTTTAAGTATGTGGAAGATTTTATTAGTAGTTTAATGAAAAAAAAAAATATTAGTAGCTCTTCAATGTTTGTGGATTGTTAAAAATTACTATTAAATGTAATTATAGTAATTGTATTAACCGTCTAACTATCAATTCTTGCCACGTTTGTTCAAGTATCCGGGCTTGGTTATGCCAATGAAGGAGGTCAAGAGAAACATAATTGGGCGATAGTGGTCGGAAGACCATAGTCGGCAGGCAACAGAGTTCGGAAAGACCGTAGTCTGCCACCGAAGGCTGACGGACTGTACTTGAATGATAATGGTATGAGGACTGTAGTTACGAGCAACAAAGGTCAAAAGGATAGTGGCCTGTAGATAATGGAGGTTGAAAGGACCATAGTCGGGTGACTGAGGCAGGCAAAGGTGGTTCGAGGACCATAGTTATGCGATGATAGTTGGAGGTCTGGAATCAAGCATCAGTGGTTCAAGGACCATAGTCTGGCAATGATAATCTGAGGATCGTTGTCGGTGAGCGAGGGCCATGGAGGTTATGTAATAACCTGAAAATACAAGATGTGTAAAAAAAAATCAAAATTTATGCTTGAATAGGAGGGCAGTGGCGTTATGCTCCGGAGTGCTACAGCACTAAGTTTGAGAGAACAATGGCACCAAAAATCGCTAATGCAGCGTTTGCATCTTTGTTTTATAGTAATTATGAATTCGACATGCAGCACAGGGTCTGAACGCTGCGGCGCTAAGCTACTAACAACATTTTTATATATATTAAAATCATAAATCCTAAGCCATTACCCCAACCATCCCACATTCAATCGGAGTTTGTCATGCAAGGAAGAAAAGGAGAGGGAAAGAAACGGAGAGAGAGAGGAGAGAGAAAATTGTTTGGGGCATTTTCAGCCTGCAATTTTATTCATAGATTTATTGTAATCATTGTAAGTAACTCAAATCTCATTTTAAAATTTTAAGTTTGACAAAGTTTTTCTCTCCTGAATTGATAAAAATGTATTTTCTCCTGATTTATTGGAATTTCACCGTGTAACATTTCACATATTATAGATACAATTTGTACGGACATTTTGACGTTAATATTACTGAATTTCACCGGCTAAATTAAGAGTTATGATTCTCTGAAGTTATGGACTTTTACTGCATTTTTATAGATATTGCATTTTAGATTTTATATAAATGAATGTGGTATTTGCATTTAAGCAAGAAAGGTTGGCTATCAATACTATAATTAATATGGGTTGGCTCTTAAAACGATAATACCCTACGCATGAGAGTGAGTAGACAAGCTTTCTTTTAAAGATGGTTTGTAATATTTTCCCAGTTGTAGCCTATAATTGATGATCGATTACGCTGACAGGCAGAGAGTGTTAACACTTAATGATTATTGAAAGCCACTATAATGAAAATGATAACGATAATGATGATGATAAGAATGAATAGATGAAAGTATAAAAATAACACATTAAAGCTAGATGTCTTGTCTTACTAAATCATATATTGATGCATGCATAAAGTGACAGTATTGACAAATAAATTGATAGCATTGATAGTGTTGGACACATAGATAATATATGAATAGATGATGAATATAAATAGATAAGATAGATACAACTAATAATATTGACACTTGTCTCTCATGATTTCTTTACTAATTTATGGCTGATTTTTGCACCACTACTTTACTAATTTATTGATTTGCATGCCTATTATTGATTCTCATGCCTATTATTGATTCTTAAATTCATTATAATGATTTCTTATTTTATTGATCATCTGGAGTCTTTTAACTGATAACTAAATCATTGAGGGGATGGAATGTCATTGATTAGATTGATTTAATTGAGCATGCATATTGATTCTTCGAAACCTTGTGTTGAAAGCTTTAGTGAATTTGAGTTATTGTTGGATTTTTTAGCACATTGTATGAATTTTATTTATTTCAGGTCAAGAAAAAGTTTAGGACCAGATGGAGTGAAATTTCTAGAGATCTACAAGTTTCTTTTGATTTTGTTTTTTTTTTAGTCAAGAGTTTATGATAAAGTATTGATTGTACTGATCTCCTGGCTATCGTATATTAATTTTGAAAGAATGAATATAATGAAATATTTTGATGTACATTATTATTAGTTGCTTCCACTAGATATAGAGATTTATATTAATGATTTATAGAATCTCTGGTAAATGATTAAAAAGATAAATAGATAATTCTTTTGAATTTGATTCTAGGGGTGACAGGTTAGAAAAATCATAGTCGGACAATAATGGTCGGATGATCAGAGTCATGTGACAATGGTTCAAGGACTGTAGCGGGCGATGGTCCAAGGATTCTACTCGACGGATGAGGAGAACGAAAGGAATGTAATTGAGCAATTGTACTCAAAAGATCACAATTGACGGACGACGGAGGTCAGAAGGATCATAGTCGGGTAACTGAGATTGAAGGACCATAGTCAGGTGATGGTGGTTTGCGGACGGTAGTCGGATAATGGTGATCTAATAATTATAGTCACTTGGCAACAAGATCAGAAGTACTATTGTCGATGAGCAACAGAGGTTAAAATGACAATAGTCGAGCAATTGAGGCCGAAGAAAAGTAGTCAAGTGACAGTGTTCTTAGAACAGTAATCAATGGGAAACGAATGTCGAAAGGACCGTAGTTGAACAATGAAGGTCTGAGGACAGTAGTTTGCGGGAGAAAATGGCATGAGGGAAGCGGTTGGCCGACGAAAGGTCCAATAATGGCGGTTAAGCAGTTGTTAGCCATTGAAAGTTTGAAGGGAGCTATCGATAGGCAAAAGTCTAGCAGTGGCAGTCAGGCAGAGGTTCGACGGTGATAACCGGGTAAAAGATGCCCGACAGCAGCAGCCAATGAAAGTTCTGACGGTGGCAATCAAACCGAGGTCTAGCAATATCGTCCATGAGGGGGTTCGATGGCAACCGAACAGAGGTTCGACAGCAACTGAGCAAAGGTCCAACGGTGACAATTGGGCAGCAAGGGTGCTAGCGGTGGTGCTCAGGTGGTATTCTTAGAGCCTCAAACCTCTCTTAAATCTCCAGTCTAACTCAATGGCCTTAAGGCCCCCCTCATGTAGAGAGTGGACCTATAATAAATTTTTTAGAGGAGCATGCCACGTAAATATGGAGAAAACTTAGATAAAATATGGTGCACTCCACTAGACGTCTTATATTAATTCTCTCGATCATAAATCGTTTCTTGAGCATATATGTACCTCAATGATATCGGAACCAAGCGATCTTAGGCTCGTTAAATTCGTCTCGTTCAGCTACTCGATTTGACTATAAAGCATATCATATTTAAAAATAATTTGATCATCCAATTAATGATATGAGCTTCCAATCACACTTGAAGCCCTTGATTTGAGCGGATTGGACCATTTTTGATGACGTTGGGTTCATGTCGTCGAGACGTTCAATTCGACAATAAGTTTGTTAAAATTGGAGTTCAAATGCTCCTGAATTTAATTCTGAGAGTTTTCAATTGAAATATGCCTCAAGATTCATGCCCGATCAATGTGCTTTTTTGTTATGTATCAATAACCATCATTAAAAACAAGCTAACAGCATGCTACATGACCATTAAATGCATTAATCATTTGAAAATGAAATAAAGAACTCAGGAGAAGGCTGTTGAACTCCCAATAAATTATTAACACATGCAATCTTCATAAATTAGCTTTCAGACGTGGAAACCAGCATATCAGAATACGACTATGAAACAAATAGGAAATAAACCTTCTTATGTATAAAGAAACTTACTGGGTACAACTGAAGTGACATGAAATCCAATATTTACAACAATTCCAGAAGTACGTTTTGAAGCATACAGGGCCAACACTGCCTGTAATTTTAAGTATGAAATACAATCAGTGATCAAATACACAACATAATTAAGTAGAATGAGATTTCAAGCATCAATGATTAAATACACTAGTAACATAACAAAGTAGAATAAGACTTCAATTTCAGTAGACATGTAAATCATAAGAAAGCAAATCTGCATACAAAGATTTAAAAGCGCAAGTACAAAAATCAAGACAGCTAAAGCAGTTGTGTTTAACTACTGTTCTTGAAGGTAAGCTGGGCACTTGCCTAGGTGCTCGGGCATGGCCATAGCTCCACGCACATCTCTTGGATGAGCTCAATTACAAAGGTATGCCTAGGTGATCGTCTGTCCTTATTGCCCCAAGCAATTGAGCGGGCTCTTTGCCATGATTGAAGGTATGGATGCTAACACTTCATACGCAAAAGATAAGTTTGTTTTCCATGGTGTTAATTTGACAAAAGGTGATAAGAAAGAAAATCAGAAGTTGGAGAAACAAAGATATGTACTAGAAATAAGTTGACAAAATCTAGATATAGAGCTTCATGCGTAGAAAAATAAATCTTGATTATGAAGAAAAAGAGGAATGTGAGGAGAAAAAAATGGGAGGGAGAAATTAGTGATGGAAAAAAAGCACATATGAAACAAATATGGAATAGTTAGTAACAAAAATTAAATCATCCCTTACACTTGCTTAAGATTGTCTATTTGAACTTAGAATACAATGAAACTTTTAAAAAATACCCATCATGTTTAAAATTTGTTTATACTTGATATAATCATTTCCTAATTGACACGTTGAATGGCCCAAGCAAGCATCAAAGAAGATGCCCCGTGCCTCAGGCAGTCAAGTGGAAAATACAGTGCCCTAAATCACCTAGCACTTTTGATCAATGGATTTCAATCAAATTACCAAAAGAAACAATGAGATGTTCACCATTATAGATATGAGAAAAGTTAGTCAAATTGTGAAGCCCAGTGCCTCACACATGCATGTGTGATCTGTGTGTGCATGTTGTGGGTATGTGTGCGTATGTGAGTGTATGCATGCAAATACATGTGTGTGTGCGCATGTGTCCATTTGTGGGTTTGGTTGGGTGTGTGTGTATATGCATGTTTATGTATGCATGCGTGTATGGGTGTGTGTACAGGTGTGTAGCATGCATGTTAGTATGTACGCATGTAGACACATGTGTGGGTATATGTCAGCAAATGCATGACTGTGTGCATGCATGCATGCGTGCATGTGTGTGTGCACGAGCATGCGTGCATGTATGTGTGCGTGTACATGTAAGAAGATGAAATGGCGAGCATGCAGTCGTGCATGTGACCTCATGAGTGCCTGCATGCACGCTTGAGTGTATATGTGTGTGCACACAAACAACACATAGATGGACTTTTCTAAAACCCGAATTTGAACAAATATCTACCACATCTAGCTCAACTTAAAAATATCTCAAAATCCCAATTTTCACAAAATTGGGAAAATTTAATATCATTGTTTCCACTAGTTGATGGGAGCAATTTTGACATATAGATCTATATGCTGAATTGCAAAAATTGGAAGTGAGGGAATTAAATCCTATTTGCACTCTTTTCTTAAGTTAAATGTGCTACTGTTTAAAAATAAAAAGTACTATTTCAAGGGTAATAAATATTAACATGTGGTGGTCATACAAGAGATTTGGAGGAGGGCAATTAGGGAAATTACTTTACCCTAAGAATACTTAATGTAACCCTAAAAGCCTTGGCATTTCTCGATTTGTGCATGCCGGAGCAAACTGAGCGGCGGGAGTTGGAGTTGGGGCGACATAGGGCTCAAGCTGAGAAGCTACGAGTGTGGAATCACGTAAAGTTAAAGGGGCCAAAGGGGTGTTGGGCTGGGTAGTAGTGTTGCTGTTATAGCTGGGCTGAGAGTACAACAACAACAACAACAAGCCTTTATCCCACTATTTGGACTCGACTACATAAATCCTTTTTCTCCAATGTGTCTAATTAAGAGTCAAATTCTCATCTATTAATAAAGAAAGTCATTTCTAATATTTTCTAACCAAACCTTTTTAGGTCTACATCTATCTTTCTTAACATAAGTCAAATCTAATGCATCTACTTTCCTAGCTAGGTCATTGGAAGGCCGCCATTTATGTGACCAAACCATCAAAGGTGACTCTCTCTAATCTTAACTTCCAATGGAGCCACTCCAACATTTTCACAAATATGCTCATTTCGTATCATGTCCCTAAGAGTAAAGTCACTCATCCACCTAAGCATCCTCATCTCTGCAAAACTTAACTTAATATTATACTTTTTTTTAATGGCCAACATTCTGCACCCCTAAAGCATTGCAGATCTAACTACCAACTTATAAAATTTTTCCTTAAGCTTGAGAGGGACTTTTTTATCACACAACAAGCCCGATGCATTCCTCCACTTCAATCATCCAACATTCTGCACCATCTAGGTTGAGAGTACCGATTTTTTTTTTTTTTTTTGATTTCTTGATTAAGGGTCATAGCCGGGAAGTTGAGGCGTGTGGGTTGTTGCATTTTTGGGTGATGGCAAAGGTTATGAATTGAATGGAATTAGGGGTATGAATGTGAGAGTTTAGTGACAATAAGGGAAGAAGAAATAGGAAAGAAAGAAAGAAAGAAAGAAAGAAAGAAGAGAGAGAGAAGAGATAAAAAGTTATTATGTACCTATAAGAAAATTTTATATGATTTGTATAATTAACATTTCAACTTCAACTGTGTTCAGTTATTGATTGGATGTTCGTAGTGCAAATGGAATTGACACTTAGTTGTGCATAAGAAGGAGAAATTAGAAGGTGCCCTATATACGCAGATGGACACGAGTTGTCCGACTTAGTGAGTAAATGTGTCCAGGAGGTAAGATATGCAATTATGTTAAGTATAGTAGGCAAGTTGATTTTTTTGTATGAATGTATAAGTGTATCTACTTTAATAGTAGTGTGACATTCGTCTGTGCATTCTGCGTGTAATTACTCTAAACTATAATACATAGTATTTCACATGTCATTATGTGAGACATAAGTATGTTTTATATGCTGCTGTGTGCAATTTATCTAAATTGAGACATGTGAATTATCTAGTAAACCGCTTATACACTAATATATAATACAATCATATTGATTTCCTAGGATATCTATATTTAACAATGATGACGGCATATTGTGATTGTATGGTTTACACTTCCTATACAGTTGAATTTGGCTTATAATAATGTCATCGATATTGTAAAACCCACAAAATGTCATTTTAGACTTCGCACGCTTTTCAATGCTTCGCGACATGTTTTAAGTGTAAAATTCATAGTTGTCGGAATTCGACGCAATAAATTTTATAAAATAGTACGCAAAATTCTGAGCGAATCGATGTTTGAGAGGGAATAAATTAATGTTTACACTTTATGTTTATCTCATATAGATTTTGATTGCGTAAGAGGAAAGGGTCGTAAGGATTTTTGACGGACCACATTGTGGTGAGGTAGGTGTAATGGAATTCTCTTAAATTTAGAAAACTCCTTACATGCAAATACATGAAAATAACATTTCTTTTTTATGCTCTTTGTGATATCATTATGACAAGTATATTTCTTTATAAAATCTCATGATCATTTGATGTAAAGGCAAAGTCTTTTTATGCAATATTAGAACTCAATGATAAATCTCTTGTTTCTTTCTTTTCAAATTTACATATGCCTTCTTTTTACATGCAATATACATTTGAGCATAGCAAATATGTATTTCCATATGAGAAGATACACTTAAATGGTTTACATAAGCCTCTTTTATGAATATGTAAGGAATAAATGCATGTGCATGTTGACGCAGAAGTATCAATGGTAAATAAGCTCTTTTGAGCAATGTAATTGTGCTATTTTGAGCCAAATGATAAAGGGGTTCTTTTGAACCAAATGTTAAAGGAATGATCAGTTATTATATACCGGATCAGTACAAATGATATTTCCAAGACGGGTATTATATATTATGATATTATGAATATTACATCATTATGTTATATGCATATGAGGCTTTTGTTTGAGGCATGAATAATTAAAGAGGAAGAATTTCAAAATTATGCAAAGAAAGAGAACTTAAAGGTTGAAGTAAATGCATGTTTCACCTTAGACAAATGTTAAAACACGATTATTCATTTATTGAGACATAGAAGCATGTTGTAGTTTCTTCTCTTGTAGCTAAATTTATTTGAATGTCATTTACATCTACTTAGTTGTGACTCACCCTGCTTATGGGACACTTTTCAGGAGAACCTGGTAAAGGATAATGGCGGATGGACCTCCACTTACGTACCGTCGTAGGAAGACGATGGACGACAGATTTTGTCTTTTTGTTTTTGATGTTTTGAGATGGAAAGATTAGAGATGAAATATAAGAAAATGATTTTGGACACCTTTTATATTTTGTAAACTTTATGTTTGAATTATTATGTTGAAATATTGATAAATGAATAGAAAGAAAGAAAGATAAATTTCTCTTGATTTATTTAGCGGCCCTTTCTTATGAATTGAAGATGTTTTAAATATTGTAATGTAAAGGTTTTAATTCCTACTGTCTGACTTTCGTTCTCGCCTCGCCCTTGCGAGCTCACTGGGCCGGGTCATGACAAAGAGTGATATCAGAGCAAAGGATTTAAGAATATTGATTAATATGAAAGAGCCAATAGGATGATCGTATAGGTTAGAGTATGTATAAGATGCATGTGTTATAGATTGTTTAAATTGTTTCGTTGCATTATGTCTCAGGGTTGTGAAACCTGAAACTGATGTCACTAATAACAATACCGGAGAGGTCAGGAGAGATCTGCCAGCAGCAGCGGAGCCTCAAAGTAGTAGCATTAATGCTACTATAGATTCTTTCACACAGATGATGGCAGCAATGACCCAAATGATAAAGAGTACTCAGACTCAGACAGGAGGCAGTGGAAGTATCCCAATGGACAAAAACTTAAAATAATTCCAAGATATGAAGCCTCCATCAT